GACTCGTAACCCAAAGGTTGCGGGTTCGAGTCTCAGGTCCGGCAGGAATTGTAGGTGGGGGGAGTGAATGTACAGTGCTCTCTCCCACCTTCAATACCACGACTGAGGTGCCCTTGAGCAAGGCTGCTCAACCCCCAACTGCTCCCCGGGCGCCGCAGCAAAAAAAGGCTGCCCACTGCTCCGGGTGTGTGTTCACGGTGTGTGTGTGTTCACTGCTGTGTGTGCACTTAGGATGGGATAAATGCAGAGCACTAATTCCAAGTGTGGGTCACCATACTTGGCCACATGTCACTTCACTCACTCAACACTTGGAACGATGACGTCACATGTTATTGTGTTTAACCTCCAGAGGGCAGCAAAGCGCGAGCTAAAATCTTTAGTTGTTTGCATAAACATTTAATCAGGGCTTGTAGGCTATAGATCTCTAAATATAAGGGCTATGTTTGGAATACCATACTAATTTTAATATTGCTGAAGTATGTACTATGTATGACTTTTATGTATGCATAAAATACCCAGATGACTTGACATTTGTCAGTGTGGAATAGCCTACTGTATCTCACAATGGAATGGGCTCGACTTGTCCTTTTCTTTCTAAAGTGATGAACGAAAAGTGCTTTATCTTTATTTTAACTCATTGTTTGATTGGATTAACAGACATTTGATTTAAGCAGAGAGTAGACCAAAATACTGTTGAACAAGGTGCTTTAAGACATTATCATGCAAATCTGACCATTCTAGATTTTAGCAGTTAATGCACTTAAATTAAGTGAATAGTGCACGACACCTAAGATGTATCTGGTCAGTGCGTTCAGAAGCGTGCGTGTTTGCAGAAGTGAATAATATATGCACCTGCTCAGTTTGCAGCTGTCGCCTGTAGACGGCAGTCAGCTTCCGTCTGAAGAACTGCTGCTGCTGCTGCTGCTGGAAAACACACAAACGGAGGATATCCATGGAGAAAAATGAATACGTGAAAATGCATTTTACTGCTGCAGGCTGCCTGATATAAATCAAACAAACACGCGGCGTTATGAATGTGGCTCTTGGTCTATATTGCTTGCTTGTTTTGCTGAATGGGCCTGACCCTTTATTAAAACATTCAAAGAGCCTTGTGATTTTTAATTTTAATAAAAGACAAAATCACTGTGCTGTACCAACACAATGCAAATATGCAATATATATATAGATAGATAGATATACAAAACCACATTTCATCCTTAAAAAATTCCCAGGCAGCTCTGAAAACAATGATACTAACACTGAGTGCATCAACATTCAAAGCTAGTGGACTGAAAGGCGGACTACCATCAAAACAATTACACTCGGCAGAACACAAAATGTACTGTGCGCGAAAGCCAAACTGACACCGTCTGGAAAGAGTCCAGTGAGGATGCACAGAGACACTGCAGTGCTGCAGAGCCAAAACAAGCATCGTGACAGAGCCGAGGAGATGTTCACAGCACTCAGACGGCGGAGAAAGCAAAAACAAGCCTCTTTCTCCTGCAACAAGAACTGAGAAAATCCATCTCCGGCTCCATGACTGTCACTCTGCATTAAGTTTACTGTCTCGGTTGTGGCGAGGTCTCAGGATATTTTTAACCAGTGTCTATCTCCGTTTCTCAAGGAGGGCAGAAAAAGATCTCTCAGGGGCCACAGCTGCAGAAGAACCTCAAGACAGAGGCGTCTGCAAGGATGTGTCCTCTGCCAGCTGGGCTCTGATCCCCAGTGTTTAACCCGAGGCGAGACGTTACCTGTTGTTGAAGTGCTGCTGCTTGCATCCTTTTTAAATGAAGTCCATTGGCTAGTTGGTCTTTTTCGCTACACTGCAAAGTGAAACACAATCAGTGGTTACTTAAACAGCATTCATGCAGCTGATCTTGGGGCAAACATGTTCTACTTTACTACTACTAGTTCTTCATATTCGGATGAATTTCCTGATCCCTGTTCAAAATGGAAACACTGAGGGAAAGATAAACCCATTAATCAAAAAGTAGATCTTAGAATTGCAGTCAAGAGATCCAGAAAAAAAAAAAAAAAAAAACGGAAAAATGAAAATGTTGAATCTATTGCAGCATTCATATCAAACTCAACTAACATTTGCAAACAAAATACAAAAGTGCCACATAGATAATATAGTCCTTATAAAATTAACATGAACAAAAACTTTGACTAAAATGTAGTTAAACATGTAACAAAGGTAATCAAGACTCAGGCTCCTTTCACATCTTGCATCAACATGCATTTTATATTTCTAATATATAGCCTAATTTTAATCTATAAATATATAGTAAGTACTTATAATTTTAATATATAAATATATGATATACCAATATAATTTCAATTACTACAAAAAGTTTACAATATAAACAATGCACATACTAAAATAGTACCACAATTTTAATGTAAAAAAAAAAAATATATATATAATATTATATATTATATGTATATAATATTTTATTATTTCATTTTTGTAGTAATTTCATTTTTTTACACCAATAATCTTTTATTTACATCTATATATACAGTATGTGTGTGTGTGTATATATATATATATTTATAGCTGTAAATAAAGAATTATTTGAGTATATTTTACAAGAAAATAATTTAATAAAAAAAATTTCATTCAACGTGTCACTTGCCATTTCTTTGTAATTATTTGTGAAATTTGAAACAATTTTCACTCAGAAATTGCTAGTCAAGTAAATCCCACACCAATTAGTTTTTTTTTTTTTTCACTTTATACAAGTATGAGATGAAGCAGCGAGTGCTGCATGACTCCTTGTTCAGTTGGGTGTCTGGCTCTCTTGAGGCCTGTAGGGTTGGTGGAGCAAAGCAAACAAAATGTGACAGAGGAGAGACCCACACTAGCCGGAGGCTAACAAACGTTCTCGGCTTTGTATTAATGCGATTTCTCTACATTATACAGAGACCAAACTCATTCAGCGACTGTATGAAGGACATGGACACCTCACTGCATTTGACAACATGCATCATTTTTCATGTAGTGACTTGATTTAAAAGATTGTAGCATGACTGCTGAAAAAGTCAGCATGAAATCTTCAGATCACATTTACTTCATGAATACATTTTGGTGGTCTTATAATGAGCAATTTTTTGTCTCCATAATCTTTCATCAAAAGATACGTTACGTTAATCAAAAGTAGGCTGTAACTAATACAGTTATGCATTTGGCAGACACTTTTATCCAAAGCGACATTAAAATGCATTGCATTTTATCAGTTTTCCCGGGAATCAAACCCATGACCTCTGCATTGCTAGAGCCATGCTTTTACTGTTTGACAGCTAATAGCAATTACTAATAACTATTTAGTAATTGTTTTAGGCCACTAATACAGTTAACAGAGGGTATTTTACAATAGTTAATGCAGTAATTTAATGCTGGTTAATGTTAATGATATGTTAATAATATTGTTAATAACAGCAAATAAAAGATTTGAAAAAGAAGTGTTGGATATAGTATAGTATATAATAATATAGTATATATTTTTTTAAAGAAGTATATTTTTTGCAGAATATACTTCACTCGCTGATTTGTAAAATGTGACCCTGAACCACAAAACCAGTCTTAAGTGTCAATTTTTCAAAATTAAGATTTATACATTTATACAAAGCTGAATAAATAAGCTTTCCATTTCCATTTTATGGTTTGTTAGGATAGGACAATATTTGGTCGAGATACAACTATTTGAAAATCTGGAATCTGAGGGAGCAAAAAAATCTAAATATTGAGAAAATCATCTTTAAAGTTGTCCAAATGAAGTTCTTAGCAGTGCATATTACTAATCAAAAATTAAGTTTTGATATATTTACGGTAGGAAATTTACAAGATATCTTCATGGAACATGATCTTTACTTAATATCCTAATGATTTCTGGCATAAAAGAAAAATCTATAATTTTGACCCATACAATGTATTTTTGGCTATTGCTACAAATATACCCCAGCGACTTAAGACTGTTGCAAATGTTGTTTCTTGTTTTGACTTTAATATGCAAGTAAATAACAGATCGTTCAGATGTTTTCACATTCAAACATCACTTGCTCCTTGCAGAAGTGAAACTAACAACTTAGCACTAAACTCTACCAAATACACATTATTATAGTATAATTTATTATTATATTACAGCATTATTTTATTTATATTTTAGTTTTTAAAATATTTTTTTCTTATATTACAGCATTAATTAGTATTTTGAATTAGCTTAATTTTTTTATATTTTCTGTTTTAATTTTAGTTCATTTCAATTTTACTATGTTTTAGTAATTTATGTGCTTGTCACTTTAATCATCATTTCTTTTTCAGTTCAGTTTTACCAATTTTAGACTTCAATTAGTTGCCAAGGCAACATTTTAAATTTATATTAAAGTAAAATATAAATGATTTTTAAGAGTATTCATTAACGATAACAACACACACCAAACCATATGGACTCAAAAAAGACAAAATATGGCAAATATAAGGTGCCCTTGACAAACAAACCTTTACATTTTTATTTTATTTCCATACTTTTAACAGTGGATTTAATGTAAAACCTAGTAACCTGCCTTTCTGTCTATCTAGGCAGCAACCCTTTAAGGCACTAACCTAGCTGTGATAAAAAAAAAAACTAAAAAAAAAACATGCATTTGATTTAGAGTGCTCTACATACACTCAAAAAGTGCCTCTCGGGCAAAACACATATGAAACTCGACTGATTCCAATAGAGATACAGTACTAAATTCTAAATGAAACAGCTATTTTTAATCAATAATTTACATTTATTGAATGAAATAACTGATTACTTATCTGCCGGCTTGAATGAGCGTCACGTCGCAAATGCATTCTGGGATTGCCTTATCTGTGAAAGATGCATGCAATGCTGCATTAGAATTTGTCCATAAGAAGCAATCTTAAAATTAAACACAATTACGCTGCCTACCTTATGCAACAGCGGAAGCATGAAAATCCAACAAATCAACACCAGGACAAAACTTAATTTTTTCAGTTCAGTCTTTAATTAGAAAATCTACTTATATACAGTATACATGTACTGTAGCAAATATTGATTCCATAGGCCACATGATAACCCCTCCCCCCCAGGTCATCTGAATATTATAAATAAAGTTTGATTTGAAATGTCTATTCAGCCGTTTTCCCCATCACAGGAAAACACGCGCTCTCTTTGTCCATCCGTCAGGGCTGAACTGAGTATCAGTCATCGCTCTCTGGCTTTGACAGACGTAAAAAAAAAAAAAGATCAGTCAAGACAACATGGCAGTCGGAAACCTGAGTCAGAACAGTTTTGGGTAGAACGAACACCCTGAATCCAGTTTAAAAACAGCAGCGTTTGAAGTGGAGTTATAGAGCGAGAGTTTCAGGTTGAGACGGCAGAACGAGACGACGGACCCGCGGACGAAATGAACCTAGTATAATAATGTTATCTTTAACATTTATAAAGAAATGTGGCAGAGACGGTCATACATTCCCATTGCAGCCCAAGAGGACAGTCAGAATAAACCAAAACATTCGCCGAAAAGAGACAGACGGCGATTGGTTCGTTATAATATATATATAAACTATATATATGCAATCCAAAGATACAATGCAGAGGGGAAAACACACATCACAGTAAAAAGTAGTTATTAATTTCATATTTGATCATTAAAAATCAGTCATTCCTTAAACTGTTAACCTCCTCTGGTGGTAAAAAGAGTTTCCCGACTTAACCAGCGGACGCTTAAAATCTCGAAGAACGCATTTGTCGTATTGATCTGTAGCAGGCACTGAAGTACTATGGCCAAAGAGGGTTTGTCATCAGACCCTGAATGCGTTTGCTATTTACATTTTCGTAAAAAATTAAAAAAAAAAAAATCTGCGATCCCTTTACGTGTTAAAATTCGGTTTAACGTCTTTGATACATACGGGAACAGCTATTACGGTTCGCTTGCTCTTTCTGGCTTGTAAGGTTCCGACTGCGTTCGTTTGGTGCGCGTTTATGTACAGTTGGTTTGTAGGCAGTGGAAGTAAGTCTTTGATGCAAACAGCAGCAAGTTCTCGGTCCTTGGCATTCAGAGTCCAGCCGATGGTTTTGTCTGGTCTGGGCGATGGCTGTGGCTTCAAATGTTAATACCATTGTTTAATTAGATTGTTGGTTGGTTTTGCTAGTACATTCGAGTGACAGCAGAGAGCATTAGTGCTCTGATATGATTAAGGACCGTCAGTCCAGGAAAGGCCGACCTTGAGAGGCTGATTTCTCCATCCGGATGAGACGTCTGTCTCACATTTCCTCCATATTTTCGTCGAAACTTCTCGCTATCTTTCTATTCTTTATATTTTCCTGTCTATCTCTTTGCCTCCGTTTACGCAGGCCATTTGGTTCAGAGTCTGCTGATCAGTTTGGCCGCCAGCCCTACTGGCCTGACTTTTTGTCCTTCTGGAAACTGAAGCTCGTGCGACGGTTCAGTTTGCGTTGTTTCTGGGCGAAGTACTCCGCCCTTGACGTGCTGGCACGGGACTCCAGGATGTAGTTCACCTGGGAGAGGAAGAGGAAACGACATACTTCCTGTGAATATGATCAAATTTATACACAAAAAATGCAGAAAAACAACACAAAAAAATTGAAACCCTACCTTGAGCACAATCTCATTGACAGTAGCAGCATCACAGTCAAAGTACAGGGCTTTGTAATCGTGGTTGCTTAGATATGTGAGCTTAAAAATTGCATGACCTACAAAGAAACCATAAAGATCTTCTTACATTCAGCAAAAAAATTACCACCAATATACATGTGCATGTGAGCTAACAGTATTTGTTACATAATTATTACAGCTATGATTATTACATCTATGATTATTATTATGTATTATTATTTTTATTTTTTTTTGTACAAAAGTCTACAACTGCAATCATTTTTATTAATCTTAGTTTTGACAAAATATTTTTGGAAATGTTCTATTATGTTGGAATCAGTTTTCGGTCATTACAGCCCAACAAGAAAAATAGTCTAATCAAAAAAAGCTTCTTGCAAATTTACTCTGAATAGCAGATGCCATGTGGATTTTAAATGCGTGAACACATTTTTATCTTGATAATTAAGATAAATAATTTAGTTAAATAATGATAAATTGATAATTTCATAAAGAAAGAAAGAAAGAAAGAAAGAAAGAAAGAAAGAAAGAATCACATCTTATGTTGGCACCAAGAAAGTCTAGAACACCACTGACAATAAAATAAGCCAGGGCTGTCAAAATTAATGTGATTAATATCATATTTAAAGAAATATATATACACACACTGGTCAAACGTTTGGGGTCAGTAAGATTTTTTAATGTTTTGATATTCTGCTCATCAAGGCTGTATTTATTTGATTAAAAAAAAGCACTAATAGGAAAAAAAAAACAGTAATATTGTGAAATATTATTAAAATTTAAAATAACTTTTCTATTTGAATATATTGTAAAATGTAATTGATTGCTGTGATCAAAGCTGAATTTTCAGCATCATTACTCCAGTCTTCGGTGTCACATGATCCTTCAGAAATCATTCTAATACGCTGCTCAAGAAACATTTCTTATCAATGTTGAAAACAGTTGTGCTGCTTCATATTTTTTGTGACACACTTTGATAATAAAATATGACTGTTTTAAACATAATTAATCTCAAATACTGGCTTTTGCATCTTTGAATTTGAACACACAGGACACATAGAAATAAATAGTCCTGCTCCAAAAATAAACGCTCAGTGAATGGTATATCCCGACTGTGAGACTGGAGCATTTCCAGGCGTAGTGCGCCGCAGCGCCTGTGAGCAGACTTCAGCAATCTGTCTGCACTTCATCAATCACCGTTAGCAGCACACGTCTGGAGAGCTGCGCTCGTGTCCCTGTCATATCCGCTAAGAAGAGATGTCTGCATCACTTACCAATGCAAACCTTACAGAAAGGCTGCGTAAATAGATTTTGTTTTTCAGTAACGGAGTTCCCTGTAAGTGTAATACAATATAACTCCCTTTGTGAGTTTACAGTGCTACACTATATCTGTCAGTCGCCAGTGATGTGGGGCATCAAAAGAGTTTCTACATAAACCAGAGACGTTTTCTCTGAGGAGGCAAGAGAGGCAGTGCCTATTACTTTACTGCAAGTATAAAATAAACAATAATTAATATATATATACAGTGTATATATATATATATATATATATATATATATATAAGAAATTAATATTTTTATTCAGTAGTGATTCATTAAATTGATTAAAAGTGACATTTATAATGTTACAAAAGATTTCTATTTTAAATAAATGCTGTTCTGTTGAACTTG